CCATGTGTTGAACATTTACTCAGGGTGTTACTTGTTAATGTGTCAGGTGTTGAACATTTGCTCAGGGTGTTACTTGTTAATGATGCCATGTGCTGAACATATACTTGGGATGTTACTTGTTAATGATGCCATGTGTTGAACATTTACTCAGGGTGTTACTTGTTAATGTGTCAGGTGTTGAACATTTGCTCAGGGTGTTACTTGTTAATGATGCCAGGTGCTGAACATTTACTCAGGGTGGTAGTATTTCAACCACGCTATATATGCAATATCAAATGTCGACGAGGCCTTTCACCCAATACCAGGCCAGCTAGAATATAACATATTAGTAGTTTGTTTTGTGTTATGTAATAGTTATTTTGTACCACTTATATCATAATTTTAACTAATTTGCCAAACATTTTCGATAGTCCTTCTTAATAAAAAAATAAAATAAGGAAATTTCCAGTTGTTTTAACTCCATCTATATATGGACCTAAATGGAAAGACTCAACGACATATATTTTTCATTCTGTGATCGCATTCCAGAGTGTTGGGAGCACCGGTACTGCCATCTAGTATAATTATAAAATATTATTTAAACTTAATATTTTCCAATGTTACAATTCTAACAATTATACGCTGAAAACAATTTAACAGTAGTAATAAAATAACTACCTGATTATAATATGACAAATCGAAGGTAATTCTTATTGTGAAATAAAATTTTATTGAAATTATTTTCGTGGTGAAGGGACTGGAATATCACAAGAGGGCGTTTAGTTTCCCACTTTGTGCCATTAATATCGATACAGAACAGTTGATTACTCTTTTAAACTTTCTTCAAGTAAAAATAAAAAGATCCACTTTTCTCTCAGTTAACGAAATTGGATTTAAGAAAAACATAAATAATCCAAGTTTTTTCTATTAAGACAAGTTTTGAAAATACAATTTATACTGTAAACAATGAAACTTTTTGAAAATACTGTTGGTACTAAAACCTTTTTCGTTATTCTACCTCAAATACACTTAATAAACGTTTAACAGTATTTTCTGTATATTTACCTCCTATCTGTACAATATACTAAATTGGAGTATGTAGCCAAAACTATTTTTTGTGGACCTTGTAAATGATGTTACTAAAGAGGTATTCCACCAACAGAAGTTTGATGGTTACAATTTTCTTATCAACTTTATATTTATCAGTTCCATTGAAGTGGTGTTTGCTATTTTAGTTTTGTTCAAAGTACCCTGCTATTCAAGATTCCAAAGTACACGTTTTACCTTTTCATCTTAAGTACACTTTACTATAATAACCCCTAATTCAACTTTCCTATACTCTGTTTTTACAAATAAAAACTCCTAAACAGCAGTGGAGTTTGAACAAAAACAACAAAAAAAGACTACGTAAAAGCACCACATGTTTCAAATGGTAAAACCAATAGTAACGCCTTTAAAAAAATTCATGTAATTACAGTATTGTATTTCCTTCTCTTCTTAACCCCCATCACAAACAAATTACAGGTTTAGCCAGAAAGGATATGCCACCAACTATCGGTGATTACGTGAACAAGGTGAAAAGTGACAGGAGAGATTGTCAAACCTTATCTTTATTTCTTATTCTGCAGAAATAATTAAATTTGTGAATTATATGTTTTATAGTCTGCAAGCGTAGAAAGAGACGTCAAGTGAAAATCTTCAACCCAGAATCTTTTATTTGTGAAAACACGGAGTACTTACAAATGTACTTTATACAAAGTGTGCAACTACAAAATCAAATGATTACAACACAAACAAATCAGAGAGTGTTATCTAAAATAAATAAACTGCTTCAGACATTGTTTTTGTTTTTTTTTACACTTTATAAATTGATAAATATAAGGCTACAATACGTTATAAACGCTACTTTAGATAATACATATTTCAGTAAAGTAGCAAACGGACAGGGACCATTCTTGCTCTCATTACGTTACATTTATTATTACTCGAGAAGACTTCTACTAATATTATTTACAAAATATTTACACTAAAACTAAATACACGTGTCTGGCAGAACTTTGTGCTTGATGAATGCAAAGGAAGACAAGAATAAACATGTATTACAAAATATTAACATTTAAAGTAATTTGCTTGGCTGCTCAAAGGATATTAAATATCTATTGAAAATGGATATACTTTGTTAAAAAACAACTTATAATCATAATATAATATCATTCAGATGTAACTTAAATGATATTATCTAGTTTGTTCATGTTTTTTTTTTATACGAAGACATTGGTCCCTTAATTGTTTTACACACACACACACACACACACGTGAAAAGTTCAACAGCATTTCTTGTCATATTTTCTTCAAGACCCAGCTCAAATATGATGACAAGACAAGCTGGTTACATTTATGACTATCACCAGCCAACATTATGCTAAAATATATGACTAAATTCTCTTTCTTCAGTTATATCACCACCTCGAAAACTGTTTCAATCATAAAAGCATATACAAATCTCAATCTACTGATTCGTGCTAGCACCCAGAAAAAAAGAAATCTTACCTCAATCATGCTAGCACCCAGAAAAAAACCCAAAAAATATCTACCTCAATCATACTAGCACCCAGAAACAAAACATCTACCTCAATCATGCTAGCACCCAGAAACAAAAACATCTACCTCAATCATACTAGCACTTTCATTTGCAGTAGTTTTTCCATCAGGTAAAGAACTAATCACTAACTGCCAAAACCAACAAAACTGGAAGGTGGCCAATCTTTTTAAACAAGTGTAATACAATCATGATAACCTCAAAGTTGAAAATAAACATTTCAGTACACAACATTCATCCTTTCATCTCCAAAAATGATAGATTTACCCAAATTTAGTGATTCATAGTCAACCTTCATCTCAGAGACAACTGTACTACTACTTGTGGGAGTTAAGCTAGCAAAAGACGTACGAGATTTATCAGAAGATGATTTCACTTCTTTCTTTATGGTTCCATTACACTGGTGGTGATCCACTGGAAGCAACTGTGTCTGGCACTGAAACGTCCCATCTACAACGTCTACAGATACAGCCTCTACAGACTGTTGCAAGAGTGGGATAACTTCTGGACTACTGGTAAGTTCTTCGGCTACTTCTACCGAGACAACGGAGACCTCGGCATTGAACTCATTCGTGGTGGACAATCTTATATTTGGTATGTCTCTCTGAGGATCTTCCTTGTCACAAAAGGATTTGATCCAGGAATGATGAAGACACTCTTTGGCTGTCATCCTCTCACTAAAAGATGCAAAGGGCCTATTTAGTTTCGTTTATATATTTTTCCATTACTACAACTATTCTATATCCAACTATATGCCCGACCACTTTAACAGATATTGCCTCTCTCTCACTATTTTAGCAAGAAACTTGATCTCCAGCCAAAAGTTTACTTGTATCGAAATCAAATGATATACTGTTGCTTATATATCATGAAGAGAAACTATTTCTATCAGTGATAGCTTCTTAAGTTGTACTTTCTAGCAACTCACGTATCTTTCTTATTAAATTAAAAACAATTTACACAAACCACCAAAAAACAAAGCTAAGAACTTGTATCATTTTATTGATGATTTCAGCAGAGAATTCGCGATGCACAATCAAAAGTGAAATAAGCAACAACTATTAAAAAAAAATCATTGGTGATTGTGTAAAAGCTCAAAGTTCAAAACTCAATTTTCAATAAACAACCTTTTGTAGATTAGCCCTACAAGTTATTCTCTCCAGGCGTCACTCTGAACTAGACAGTTTCTGCCTGTTTCATCTTTGCTTATATTTTTATCTTTAAATTATTATTGACAACTTCTAAACATATACAAAATTAAAAAATCTTTAAACTCAAATAAAGGATAATGAAAAAAAAACTTAATTTTCTGCTTCCAGTGGTAACCTCGAGAGTTAATAACACTAAAACTCAAATTTTGGTATTCATGGTGAGCACAGCACAGACAGCCTATAATGTAGCTTTGTGCTTGACAACAAATAAACTAATCTTTCTACATAAAATTAAATTAGATAAAACTCCTAGGTCAGTTTAAACAAGCACCGGTCAACATAGTTAGTGAAACTGAGGGGCATGTACCCCCCCCCAAAAAATTTTTACCCAGTAACAAAGAACTCCTTTGAATGGGGGATTTGTGTATAACTATCATGGAATGTTACTGTTTCAGTTTTGAAATGAATGGCTATAATTAACATAGAAAATAAAGTATCTCAATCATCAGTGTCCACCCAAACGTAGATGTATTCCGCCACCTGTATCAGTCAACTTGCCAAAGAATGACTCAAACCTCTTCAAAGCAACTTAAAAATGCCATGTTTTAAGGGGGAATTTCAATCTACACTAATTTTAATTTTAAGCTAACAGATCATGATCTTGACATTAACACACATTAATTTTACTGAACAACACAATGAAAAAAGTATCCGGTTTCTAAAGCTTACTTTGGTTCCATGATCAGTAAACTCTGAATGAAATCTTTAGCATCTTTTGACACCCCCCCAAATAAATCTTCTGGAAACTCTAGTGTACCACTGGTAACATTCCAAAAAGTCTCTTGCTTAGTCTCTCCACCAAAAGGGGTATGACCTGAAAGAAGAACATAGGCAAGGACACCTATGCTCCTGAAAAATAAAGAACAATAAAAACATGACTTCTAAAGACACTTTTTTTTTTTTATCAACCATTCAGATATCTTACATTCAACTAAAAAACACAAACATAAATTAAACAATAGAAAAAAACAGCTTCCACCTCTTTAAAATGAAAAGTCAGAATACTAGACTTATAAAATAGATATAAAAACTTGTAAACATTTAAGATTAAGGAAGAGAGGAATGCCAAGAATGTGCTGCCACCTAGTGCTATACACTGTTAGGGTTTCTTTTTTTTTAATTTGCTCGTTAATAAAGATAGTAACTTTATGTCTTATTTTTATCTGATGGTAACAAAATAAAATAAATCACAGAAATTGGTTCAATACTTACCACATATCTGTGGCTAACGAAATTGGTTCATAATGAAGTATTTCTGGTGCTGAAAAAACAAACATTTCTATCATTAGCAATAATGAAATTGAAACTTGCACAATGAAAGGGCACTAGTATCTGTACTTTGAAGTTCTGAAGCCATCAGATAAATTTTAGAAGGAAAAAAAATGGGGTACAAAATGGTTATAATTCAGGTATTAACTTATAAAAAGTATATGACAAGTACTAATACAACTACCGTAATCAATAACTGTGATTCTGGTACTTGCATGAACTTCACCTTAAAATGACCTATATATATATATACCTTAAATTCCCTAAATGTTCCCGTAACAAGTATTATGTTATAAAAATATCTGGATAAATACCAGACATTTAACAGATATAAACCTTGTGAGAGTTCAAGCCATTGCAAATATAGAAAACTTATTTAGAGACATTTAAAAAAAAATTCTAATCCTTGATTACTTTCCAAGTAAGGTTACCAGACAGATTTAATACAATGAGAGCCATAATTATTTGTATAGGGTCCACGTGGATCCCTATAGAATTACTTGGAAATCACAATTACTTAAGGAAAAACCATAATTCTTTGACTAATTGCTACCTAACTACAAATGTGAATAGGTGGGGCTCTTCTAGCTACTGATCTCTTCCCCCCCCCCCATCCTTCTCACTAAAGATTAAAAGCACGTGTACAAGTTACACAGAAATTTAAATCAATGGGTATCGTTTGAAACTACGCTTATTTCCCAAAAGTTTCATACACCAAAAGTCTAGCCAAACAACTTGGATGATTTAATAAACACAATTAACTGTAATTGTCCACTCTTACTTTCTCACAACTCCAAGAGTATACCAAATTCTTCCACACTTGACTTGATACCAGTTTGGTCCAATCTAAGTTCCATAATTATAGTTGCACTGTTTAGTACCTGTTTATATATACTGTCATACTAAAGTAATAACTTGATAGATCCAGTGTTTGTTTTAGTGCAAAACCACAGTGGGCTGTTGCAGTGTCCACTATGAGGAATCAAACCCTGGATTTTTGCATTGGAATTCCTCATAATTATTAACATCATGAATATGGTGTGAAATCCAGATTTATTAACACAAAATCCAACATCCTACACCACTGATATGTCATGCCTAGAGTAAATGTTCAAACCCTAACATCATTAACATGTCACATCTTCAGTAAATGTTCAACACATGACACCAAGTAACACCCTGAGTAAATGTTCAACACATGACACCAAGTAACACCCTGAGTAAATGTTCAACACATTAACAAGTAACACCCTGAGTAAATGTTCAACATGTGGCATCATTAACATGTCACATCTTCAGTAAATGTTCAACACATGACACCAAGTAATTGTTGCGTCAGCGAGGTCACGTGTCACGCCACGTTTCTAGAACTATCTTGTTCCTTCGGGAGTGCTCTAGCATTTACTAGATTGGGGGGTGGACTGGTATATATAAGATGGTCACGGCGTGACAGTGAACAGTGTGTGTAGGTA